GCGGCGCCGTTCGCCAGGGCATCCTGCGAGGTCGCGCTCACGACCGTGAGGTCGATCAGGAGTGGTGCCGCGACGCCTGGCGCGTGGACCACCAGATCCATGCGCGCCTCGGGGCTCTGCGGTGGGGCGTGGGGCAGCAAGGCCTCTCTGTGCACTGTGCAGCCTTGTTCTTCGCACACCTCCGCCAGCGCCGCGCAGCCCGCGTCATTCTTGCGGACCAGCCACCCGCCGACCGGGCAGCTCCGGGCGTGCAGGCCCTTCGGACCCAACGGCGCACCGCAGACGCTGCCGTCTGGGCGCCAGTTCTGGCACAGCCCTGTCCAGAACGGCGCGTCGAGGTTCAGCCGAAACCCCGTTGCGATGCCGAACTGCGCGTCAGTGAGGCGGAGGCAAGCTCGCGTGGGGGCCTGCAGCCAGCCGCTTGCCCCAGCGCCTCCAGCCCAGCGCAGTGCCGCAGCTGCGTCGGGGCCCGCGCTCGCAGCCAAGCCGGCGACGAGGCGGGCAGCGGCAGCAAGAGGGGCCGTAGCCAGGGAGTGCTGCGTTGCTGCCAGGGCCTCGTTGCCCACCTGGGCGGTCGCGTCCTCCAGCACCGTCTGTAGCGTAGCCGTGGCCGCCGGAAGGCAGCAGCGGCGCGCCATGCAGGGCGGTCAGGGCGCTTGCGTCCGTCCGGCCCAGCTTGCGCAGGCAGCGCGTCAGGCCGAGGTGCCAAGAGGCGGCGTGAGCTGTTGGCGCCGTCAGCTCCGCGCTCTGTAGCCCGAGGCCTCATCATCGTCCGCTTAGGAAGAGCCGCTTGCCGCCGTAGTCGCCCAGCTGGTGCCCGTGCGGCAGGGCGTGCTGCGCTTCTGTGGCCAGCGCCACGTCCAGCGCCCTGGCGTCGGCCGCGGGGATGCCGCACGTGCGGGCCAGGAACGTGGCCGTTTTGTGACGCAGGCCGGCGGCCTGCAGCTGGCGGAGCCTCAGGAGGAAACGCGCGCGGTTCTGTGCCAAAGCCGCCAGCTCGGGCCCTCCCTCGGGGAGCATGCTGCCTTCGGCTGTGGCGGCCGCAGGTACCGCGCGCACCCAGCGCTGACGGGGGCCCGCCGTAAGGGGCCCGACGTGCCGGAGCACCAGCGCTCTTGGCTCCACATCCCGTCTGCCAGCGAGCGCCGCCACGTCCACCTCCCGCCCAGGGCTGGCTTTCGTCTTCGCTGGGTTTCCGCGCAGACCCACGGCGGCGCAGGCCCGCGCGAACGCCTCTTCGGCGGGCGGGCTGCAGGGCGGTGGTGGCGCAGATAACGTCCAAGTCGTCCTGGTAGCAGTAGCTCCGGCCTGGCTCCGCCTCCACACGCGCCGCCCTCTCGACCACGTCGGCCACGTTGGTTCGTGAGGGCGTCCCCTTGGTCTCCGCCACACTCATTGGACAGGGGTGTCCTCGTGTCGTCTCTGGGCGCACCCAAGGGAGCATGTCTGGGACCAGCTCGTGGACCGCTCTCGCAGCGGACTCTCGGCTGAACTCGCTGTGGGCGTTATTCACGTCGCGGCTGAGTTTGCAACAGCCGGGCGGGCTGTCGAGGTCGAGCAGAGCCGCCTTGTGCATGAGCTCGGCCCCGCGGGCGTCGCCCACCGGGCACACTCTGTCACGCCGAGCGCAGCCGCTACCCTGCCGCGGAAGACCCGGGTCACCGCTTTGGACGCGGCTCTCCGGTGGAAATTGCCCAAAGCAAGGGGTCGGACCTTGTTCGGTTCCTCGCGGTCGCCTGCCAGGATCCGATCCGCGCGGACACCCACGGCCTGTGCGCTTCTCCTGCGGCGCGCCCCAACTGCAGTCGGAGCCCACTTGCGCGCAACTCTCCCACGCTTCAACGTGCCCCTGCATCCACGTCCAGTGCTCGTCTCGGGTGCCGCCGGGGCCCGCGCCTCTGTTCCTGGGTGCGTGGAGGTACGCCTGGCCCAACTAGTACAGGCAGCGGTCGATGTCTTCGTCTCCATGCATGCCCAGTGGGAGCACTGGTTGCGCTGCGGCTTGCGGGAACATGTCCGGGAGGCAGCGCTTCGCTTTCACGTCTGGCGCCATGGGGATCTTGCCGTCCACCACGCGCAATGCCTCCCGAACGTCCTCCCCAGCGAAAGCCTCGGCAACGCTCGCCACGTCCATAGCTAGCTGCTGCGCTTCCGTTCGGGCAGGCCCGTCTTGTCCACGACACGGAACTTCGGAGTCTCGCCACAAGATGTCCCAGGCCCCTTCCCACGCCCGCCGGACACGCCCGGCCAGGGTCCGCGCCAGCGTCTCCCCTTTGCTTGCCTCTCCTTCCGCCCCTCCGACGCCTCGCCGACGCGAAGAGCAGCCCGTCCACGAACAAGAAGGCTTTGGTGCCGTGTCTCGTCCCGTGTCCCGCCAGCGCCAAGCGCCGCGTCGGCGAGGGCTTTCCGAAGGTCTGCGATGGCGTACCGGACGGCCGGCGGCACCACGCGCATTGTGGAGATTGGGTCGCGCATGGAATTCCAGGAGATTGTGTCCCAAAACTCCATGCGCAAGAGCTCCCCGTACTGCACCTGCGCGGCGTCCGCGGGGGCAGCGCCAGCAACTCCTCCTGATTCCCCGCCTGCTCCCATGGCGCCAGAACCAGCTCCCCCTCCTTCTCCTGGTCCTCCTCCGCCCCCTCCTCCAGGCAGGCCGCCAGCCGCGTACGCAACCTGCGCCTCGGCCTGCTTGCCTGGGGTGACGAAGTGCCACCCGGCCAGCTGATCGGGCGGTCCGCACGAATGCGCCACGCACGCGATGTCGTGCACGCGCGCGCGCCCGCTCCGCTGCGCCTCACCCTGGGAGCCCTCGCGGGAGTTTCCCCCAGGCACGCGGCACACATGGCCAGTCTCCGCGAGATCGGGGCGGAGACGACCCAGCGCGCCTCCGCTGCCGCAGCGGCGCCCGCCGCAGCTGGCGCAGGCGCGTCCGCGCTCGCAGGGCGTCGCCGCCGCTGCCGTTGCGCCGCCTCGTCGACGTCGACCTCCATTGCCTCGGAGGTGGATGGAGGGAAAAGGGATGGGCGGGGAAAGCGAACGAGGTGAAAATACCCGCCCGGGCAACGACTGCGGCGACTCGAGCCTTCCTCCTCCTCCTCCTCCTCCTCCTGCTGGATCCGCAACCCCGGCATGTGTCCCACTTTGGGACGCATGCCCACCGGGGCTAGGCGTGTCGGCAGAGAGTCCGCCACAGGACTGCAGGGGCCGCTGCCGCAGACGCCACCCCCGCGGGGGGGGGGCGCAAACCTGTGGGAAAGCAAGGGACTGCCCCCAGGCGCCGCCGGCGACGACGACGACGGCGGCGGCAGAGCGACGAGGCGACCGCGACGACGACGCCGAGGACGCAGACCGCGGGGACCACCGCAGCGGCGACGAGGCGGAACGACGACGGCGACGACGACGACGACGACAGCGACGGGGGAGGGGGAGGGGGGAGAGAGAGGGGGGCGAGGGCAGGAGGAGAGGAAAGGAGAGACACGGAGAAGAGAGGGGAGGGGAGAGGGGAAAGGGGCAGTACCCTACCACCCCAGGGCGTGTGCCCCCCAGGGGGAAGCTGTGCGCGGGCAGCTCAGCCCGACCCCCTGTCTTGGGGTTCCTGCTGGTGCTGGGGCTCCGCGGGAGGTGGACCAGCGTGGCGCGTCGGCCTACGCCTGGTCGCCCCGCTGCCGGGGCGCGCCGTGCTGGCCAGTGCTGGCCGCTATGATCATGGCGTCCGTGTGGCCTTGCACATGGACGCTCAAGGCGCGGAGCAAGCTCTGGAAGAGCTCCGGCTTGTCACGGTACGCCCGGCGCAACCATGCCATGCCGCTCACGTTGATTCGCCCGTAGTTCTCAATCACGAGGGGCACGACGTTGGCACCGGGGTACTTCGTCCGCTTCTCGTCCTCCATGCGGCATGCAGCGGCGCCATCTCGAGACGCACGCTGCCGTTCCAGAGCCGAGTCCGTGCTCAACACGTCGACGATGGCGACGTCTAGGAAGAACGTTGTGCCCTCCAGCTCGACAACGATGTCTAAGCGTGCCTCGGACATCGTGCCGTCCGGCTTGAGCCTGTCAAGGTGGGGACGCCGCTGCTCTGTGCGAACTGGGGCGTGCAAGTCAGCGACAAGCCTGGTGGCAACGAGGTCACGGCTGCCATCGTGCCGGCGCACGAGCGCACCACGGATCTCACAGATGCTGGCGTGGTGGCCCTCGTCGTCCAATTCCATGCCGCACTTAGTCCCATCCGGCCGCCAGTTCTGGCAGTGGGTAGCGTCGTGTGGTCCACGCGGCACGGGTCGCAGGCCCAAGCGGCGGCGGGCAGCTGCCTGAAAGGTCGCGTCCGTCATCTTGTCGGAGGCGGCCCCCGGCGGGTCCAAGAAGCGGCTGGCCTCCAGAGTGGAGGCGGATCTGATAGCCGCTGCATGGCGCTGCGTGGCCGACCCCAGGAGCTGATCGTGCAGGTTGCGCTGGACTGCTCGAGTCCAGACTCGCTGCATACCCTTGACGGGTTGCGGCTGGTCGCTTTGCCACAGGCGTGTCTGCTCCCGCGCTCCCTTCTGCTCCAGGCTGGTCACCGCGCTGTTCATGCCCTCCACGTGCTGCGGGAGCACGTGCCGGAGCTCCGCCACGGTGTTAACCCCAACCGTGCTCATCACCTCGCTCAAGGCCCCGAGTGTGCCGGCAAGGAAGGCAGCATCGGCACGCAGCTCCACCCCGCCAACGCTGAGGCCGCCGTGACGCAATGGCAGGTGTAACTGCACCCTGCGCTGGGCGTCGAAACTGCCGGTTTCGCCGAGCAGTCGAGCCCAGAAGTGTTCGACCACGGCGTCGTAGGCCCTGGCTTGCTCGGCAGAGATGGCGGCGCCGCGCAGGACGTGCTGTGGCTTTGACCTTTGACTCCTCCTCCTCCTCCTCCTCCTCCTCCTCCTCCTCCTCCTCCTCCTCCTCCTCCTCCCCCTCGCTTCCTCCCTCTCCTCCTCCCACCCCTCCCCACCCCCGTCCTGGAGCCCCGCTCCGAGGCGAGCGGCGGCGGCCGCAGCGGCGCCCTGCGAGGCTGGGAGCTGCAGGCCCGCCCGGGTGGGGGCCGCGAGGCGCCCCACAGCGCGGGGGTGCCGCGCGCCTTGGGTTTCTTGTGGAAGCGTTCTTGTGGACGGGCCCCTACTGCAACGTCGATCCTCAGAGGTCTCGAACCATTTCCCTGGACCAGTTTTCCATCCCGAGCTGGTTTTGTTGACGGTCCCGAGGGCCGGTAAGGGCCTCCATGAAAATTCGGGGGTTTGGGGAGGTCTCGACCCATTTCCCTGGACGGGTTTTGCATCCCGAGCTGGTTTTGTCGACGGCCCCAAGGTCTGATAATTACGGGCCTCCAGAGTCAGAACCTTCGGAACAACTCGCCGCCGTGATTTTTGTCCATGGCCCGAGGGGGGTCTGGGCGCGATTTTCGCGCCCGCGCAGCGCCGCGCCCGGGCAGCCCAGGTGGAAGCGGATGCGCTCTTCGTACTTTTCGGCCTCTCTGGGCCCTTACATCCGGGGGCCCTCAACTCACCGGCTAACATAGGTCATGGTAATGAATGAACGCGCATCCTTAAAGCACATTATTGAGAAAGCGATGATTCACTAAAGCGAGAAACGGATTTAATAAATTGCGCCGCCCAATCAGAACAGGACAACACTTCATTCAGTAAACGCAGAAGCCGGTTTACTAATTTCAAAAAGGGATGTTCAAAATCCGGGGCCGTTTTTCTAAATCCCAGATCCAATCATTAACGTGACCCGAGCGGCTCAATCACAGACGGGGTGGTGACCACACCGTGTGGTGAGTCGGTGGGGATTCGGGGCCACCGCACGTTTTTGGGACTCGGATCCCTCTCCAAGGGTGTCTCGGGCGACAGGGGCCTCCAGGGTCCCAAGGCCGCGCGGTGACGGGCCGTGCGGTGAGGTCTCTTGGGGTTCGAGGTCACCGCACGGTCTGTCACCGCACGGTTTTGGGACCGAGGCCGTCAAACAACGGCGCGGGAGGAAGAAGCACCGCCCCAGAGAGGTGGTCGAGAGGTCGGGGTCTAGTTCGTTTCGATCGATCCGGCTCGACATCGATTCAGGCTGGCCCGATTTGATTCGATTCCGAATTCCCTGCGATGCGTTGCGAAACAATGTTTGCATGGCGCTGTTGCGCATCCTGGCGCAGCCGATCCGATGCGATGTCGATCTCGCGCCAATGCAGTCCGATTGCGATTTCTCTCCGAGAGCAGGCCAGCCGAGTATTACACGGACAATTAAACTGGAAGCTGTCGGCTGCAGGATCGGCTCTCAATGGCGGACTTCCAGAGCTAATGAAACACTCAATGAACACGCCATCTTGATGAGTCCCCCTCCCTTTTCGACGCACGTGCTGTTTCCTAGGATCGTGGCGGGCGCGCGTGGACAGCACGCTGCTGGGTGCCATCGCCTGCGCCCCTCATGGGCTCGCCTCCCAGCGCACGGGCTCGACCTGACCGGGCGGAGATCTAGGCCACTTTCAAGTCTGCCGTCCATTTGGGCACTCGAGGGGGCCCAGGACCCCCCACGGTCCCTCGGCCAACGAAGACGGCCGTAAGGGGGGGGACCCCTACCTGCACCTCGAGGCACATGTGGGCGACGCAACAAAACGGGGTCGTCTGCGCTGACATTGGCGAGTATGCTGGCCGCGTAAGCTCGCGCGTAAGCGCCCTCGTCTCCAATGTGGCGTGTCGCGCTGGCGGCCCGCGTAAGCCGCCGCGTAAGGTCTCCAGGTCATCTCGCGTCAGACCCGTTTCTGATCGCCGCTCATGTGCCACCGCCTCCAACTCAAGGCGCCGAGTGCCACCTACCATACCCATCCTCCCCCCCCCGCTGCGGCAGAGGCCCGAGCGGGCTGGCGGCTCGCGGGCCGAGACGCGCTGGAGGGCTGGGAGATCCCCGCGGAGGAGGTCGCCCAGCGCTACGCCGCCGCCGCCCGTGGCGCGCCGCTGCTGAGCCTGCGGGGCAGCGAGGAGCCCTGCCCTTAGGAGAGTTGCCTCGAGAGGAAGGGGGGGAGAGACCGGGGCAGGTCTCCTATTCCTCCCTCCTTCCTCCCTCCCTCCTCCTCCGCCTCCTCCCTTCCACCCTCCTCCTCCTCCTCCTCCTCCTTTTCCTTTTCCTCCTCCTCCTCCTCCTCCTCCTCTTTTCCCCCCCCCTCCCCCTGAACCTCGCTCACGACCCCATCGTATGCGCACCCAGGTGTCCAGTTATGGTGCTGCCAAAGGCGGCGGCGGCGGCTCCAGCTAGCGCTCGAGGGAAGGGGCGCGAGCCGGGTCGTGGTCGTCTCGACGGGGGGTGAGGGGTCCTTCGCTCGCCCAATCACCTTTGTCCGAGGAGGCACGAGCTAAGTTTTGGTCCTCTCAGCTGGGCACCCCTCGGACTGCGCGCCCAAACGAGGGGCCGCCTGGTAGAGGCGGCGCGGATGGCTCCCGACGGGCTGTCCGCACCATCAATGGTGTCACGAGCTGCCAACGCAGCGCCCAGATCCTAGTCTCCAGTCGAATTCGATTCAATCGGATCCCTATTGCATTATACTATTATATTATATTCTCCTCCTCCTCCTTTTCCTTTTCCTCCTCCTCCTCCTCCTCCTCCTCCTCCTCCTCCCCCTCCTCCTCCCCCTCCTCCTCCTCCTCTCTCCATTCTCCTCCTCCTCCTCGTCCTCCTCCCCCCATCCTCCTCGCTCCTCCCTCCCTTCTCCCTCTTACTTCCTCCTAGCTCCCCTGGGGCCCTCCAACGGCCCAGGGACGAAGACTTGGCCCTTGGGGAATGCCCGGGGTTCAGGTCCCGCGCCCTCTTCGAGAGGTCCCGCCACGTCGGCAGGGGTCCTCGATCGCCGCATGCAGGAGTGGCGGCGACGCCCCTCTGGACGCCCAGTTCGGCTGGGCCCTGTGCGTGTCTATCCAGAAGTGCACGCACGTCTTCAGCTGCAGTCCACCGTCTGCTTCGTGCCGAGCCCCATCAGTGGGCCGCCACGTTGTGGATGGTTCTCGGGCGTTACCTGGTCGGCAGCGCCTCACCCCGAGCTCTGGAAATGCACGCATTTTGGAGCCCCGGGCTCGGGACCTGGACCTCGGGCCTGGGCCTCGGGGCGTGGCGGCCCGAACCCAAGCATCGCGCGCCGCGCCTGCTGCCCGGGGCCTCGCTCCTCTTCTGTGCACGCACGCTTGATTCGCCCCCTTTTCGGCCGCGCCCTCCCCCCGCTCCACCTCCTGCATGGTGGCACAGTTCGCTCTAACGGCATCCCCGCTTGGGCACCCCATCGCCAGCGCAGATGTCCCGTGCCTAGCCGCCGACGCAGACGTGCACGCACGCTTGGGAAACGGCGGGCGGGGGGGCTGGGGGGCACGGGGCCCCCGCCCCCGCTTCGCCTACGACCTGGGGCCTCGGGCCCAGATATCGGAGAGCCTCTGCTGTGTGCGCGCGAGGGCGGGCGGGGGCTGGGGGAACGGGAATCCCCCCGCCCCGCCCCGCCCCCGCTTCTGAGATAGCATCGTCTGCGTGCGCTTGGAAAGTGGGCAGGGGCTGGGGGCACCCCCCCAAGTGATGATACATCTCTCTCTCTTTCTCTCTCTCTCTCTCTATATATATATATATATATATATATAATATATATATATATATATATATATATATATATATATCGGAGTAGGGCCCCTGGGGCGGTGCCAGTAATCTCCATGGGGGGATGCAGGGCGCCCCCGGGAGCGTCCGAAGCGTCCCGGAGGGCCCCTGGGACCGCCAGGAACAGTTCGAGACCGCCCAAGACGGCCCGCGAGCGCTCCAAGACGCGCATAGATAGCCTCAGGAATGGCCAGGAAGGCCCGAAGACGTTCCAAGAGAGCTCAATGAGGCCCCGAAGGCATCCCAAGAGGCCTCCCAAGAGAGCCCCGACAAGCCAAAATCGTTGATTTGTATTGTTTTTTTTCAAGGTTTTTGGCCTTCTCGCTTTTTCGGGGTTCCGACGCTCCAAGGCCGTCCGAGAGTCTCCCAACACCGCTCCAAGACGGCCGAAAAGGCCCCCAAGACCGCCCCAAGACAGCCCAAGAGACCCCCAAAATCGTCGCAAGACGGCCGAGGAGAGCCCCAAGATGGCCCAGGAGCCGCCCAAGACGGTTCCAGGAGTGCCCCGACAGGGCTTCAAGACTGCCTAAGCGAGCCCAGCGGTCCCCAAGAGGGCCCCGCGAGGCCCCAAGAGGCCCCAAAGAGGCCCCCAAGAGCCTCCCCAAAGGCCCCCAGAGGCCCCCAAAATGCCCAAAAATGACCCTAAGCGCGCCCCAAGACGCCTCCAGAAGAGCCCCACAGGCCTCCGAGAGGCCCCCAAGAGGCCCACTGGAGGCCCTCAGGAGGTCGTCCCCATCATGTTCCCGGAAGGCGGTCCGGGAACATGATTCCGCGCCTTGGAGGAGTATTCTGCGCCTTCCGAGGCGCTTTGGACGACGTACGATTCATATTCTTGAACGCTTTGCGGGAACATGATTTCTCACCGTTTCGGAACGCTTTCCTACTGCTGCGGTGCTCTGGGGGGAAGGGACGGGGGTCCGGGAACATGATCGGGAGGTTAGGGAACGAGGGTTTGGAGAGGAGCAGTAGGACAGACGGACGGGGCCCGGGGGCGGGGGTGGGGTGGTGCCACCGGTTGGCATGGCCGCCCCGGGCGTCCTGTGGGGTCCACGAACCCGCCCAAGACGGCCCATGAGGCCCCAAAGACAGCCCAAGAGACCCACAAGACTGCCTCAGCGAGGCCCAAGAGGGCCCCAAGACGCTCAAGAGCGCCCCAACAGGGCCCGAGATGGCTTGAAGATGGCCGAAGAGGGCCCCAAAAGGGTCTTCAAGAGGCAAACACCGGCCCATTCCCATTCGTAAAGCATACATGTTCAGCATACTCGTTTGCTTGGTCCTCACAGTGCCCGAGACGCCCCCGAGCCCCAAGACAGCCCAAGAGAGACCCAAGAGGGCCCACGACGGCCCAAACGGGTCGTCCTGTGAGGCTCACGGAACCCCCCCAAGACGGCCCAAGAGGCCCCAAAGCTGGCCCAGGAGGCCCCCAAGACGGCCTCAGGAAGACCAAGAGGGGCTCGTTCGAAATCATGTTCCCGGAAGCCTCTCCGGGAACACGATTTCCGGTTGTCTAGGACGCCCAAGAGGGCCCCAGGACGGTCCCAAAAGGGCCCTAAAAGACCTCCAAAAAGGGCCCCGATGGCCACAGTTCGTTGATTTGCGTGAGATGTTGTTGGATTTCTTCCGCGCGGAGGAGACGGAGAGGGCGAAGGAGGAGGAGGAGGAGGAGGAGGAGGAGGAGGAGGAGGAAGAGGAAAAGGAGGAGGAGGCAGGGAGGAGGAGTGGAGGGGAGGAGGGGGGAAGAGAGAGGAGAAGGCTCGAGGGCGATCGACGATCGGAGACGACGACCGGCGACGAGGATTCACGACGACGACGACGACGACCACGACGACGACGACGATCGACGACGGTCGACGACCGACGACGACGATCGACGACGATGACAACAGTCGACGCCGCCGATCGACGATCGACGGCGATGATGACGGCCACGCCGACGGCGGCGACGCTGCCCGCGTGACAGCCCAAGAGGCACACAAGACAGCCTCATCGAGGCCCCAGAGGGCCCCAAGACGTCCAAGAGCGCCCCAAGAGGGCCCGAGATGGCTTGAAGAAGGCCGACGAGGGCCCCAAGAGGGCCTTCCAGAGGCAAAACTTTACCCATTCCTATTGTAAAACGTACAATTTCAGCATGCTCGCTTGCTTGGTCCTCGGAGTGGCCCCCGAGGAGCCCCAACACAGCCCAAGACGGCCCAAAAGGCCCCAAAGCCGGCCTAGGAGGCCCCCAGGCGGCCTTAGGGAGGCCCAAGAGGGCCTCGTTCGAAATCATGTTCCCAGAAGCTTCTCCGGGAGCATGATTTCCGGGTTCCCAGGACGCCCAAGAGGGCGCCAGGACGGCCCCCAAAGGGCTTAAAATGACATTCAAAAATTCCCAGAGGGCCACAGTTCGCTGATTTTTGCGCAATGTTGTTGAATTTCTTCCGCGCGGAGGTGACGGAGAGGGCGAAGGAGGAGGAGGAGGAGGAGGAGGAGGGGGAGGAGGAAGAGGAAGAGGAGAAGGACGAGGCGGGGAGGAGGAGTGGAGGGGAGGAGGGGGGGAGAGAGGAGGAGGAGGCTCGAGGGCGATCGACGATCGGAGACGACGACCGGCGAGGGTGATTCACGACGACGACGACGACGACGACGACGACGACCACGACGACGACCGATGACGATCGACGACGATGACAACAGTCGACGTCGCCGATCGATGATCGACGGCGACGACCACGACGGCCACGCCGACGGCGGCGACGCTGTCCGACAGCCTCAGCGAGGCCCAAGAGGGCCCCAAGACGTCCAAGAGCGCCTCAAGAGGGCCCGAGATGGTTTGAAGCTGGCCGAAGAGGGCCTTCAAGAGGCAAAAATCGGCCCACTCCCGTTGTACAACGTACGTTTTCAGCATACTTGCTTGCTTGGTCCTCACAGTGCCCCAGACGCCCCCGAGCCCCAAGACAGCCCAAGAGAGACCCAAGAGGGCCCAAGACGGCCCAAAAGGGTCGTCCTGTGAGGCTCACGGAACCCCCAAGACGGCCCAAGAGGCCCCAAAGTTGGCCCAGGAGGCTCCCAACACGGCCTCAGGGAGGCCCAAGAGGGCCTCGTTCGAAATCATATTCCCAGAAGCCTCTCCGGGAACATGATTTCCTGGTTCCCAGGACGCCCAAGAGGGCCCTAAGACGGCCCCAGAAGGCCCTAAATGGACGTTCAAAAAGGCCCGGAGGGCCATAGTTCGTTGATTTGCGCGAGATGTTGTTGGATTTCTTCCGCGCGGAGGAGACGGAGAGGGCGAAGGAGGAGGAGGAGGAGAAGGAAGAGGAGAAGGAGGAGGAGGCGGGGAGGAGGAGTGGAGGGGAGGAGGGGGGGAGAGAGGAGGAG